GAAGAAGGCCTTCGCTGCGGAGTTATTTATTCGGAAATGCCAACTGACCGGTTACAGACCATTGAACCAGGAAGCAAAACTCCAATCTGCATCTTATTTACAAAACCTGGACACACCTCTTCTCCCGAACGAGTCTTCCTGGAGATTTAGCGCCTCCAATCATTCATCGGTCAAATAAAAGCAAATGTTCCAAGTGGTCCCGCGAATTCCGCAACAGAATTCCATTTTTCAATCGATGCAAAGCGAAATTCTACGAGCAACACATACTACTCGCGTGCCTCCCGATCATAGTATAACCGTTAAACCGGTAATTCACTGGCTTACATATGACATAATGTGGTCACAGTTGCGTCATGTAGGATTAGTGGAGATCCTGAACGCTGACCTCACATTCATGATTGGGACTTGCAGAATCAGCTATATTTAGACCTACAGGACCTGTTCATCCTCATCTCTTTGCGAGCCTCTCACTTCAACCCCATCCTCAATTCACCAAACCATTCCCTTCTTGGTTCATCATTTTCGAACGCTCTCACCTGAACCCAAAATGTGAAATAAGCTGCAAACCGAGGATCCGGAATAGTATTTCTTTTCTCACAAATATTCTACCCTTCCAAATTCCCCTCAATGTACAGATCCCAGATCCCTCCCACCACGCAATACTGCTGTCATATCTGTGGTACTGCTTCTTTTGTATATCATGCACCGATACGTCAAGCGTCACACTGACTTCTCTCCTTAGCTTCATGCTTCCTCTTTACTCGACGCTACCCTAGTAGATACCCATTGGACTCGCATTCACATCACTTTCGTCTAAACAGTCCCCCTTTTGTCGTGGCATTGTTGTTCTGATGAGCCCACACCAAAGGGGAAGCGATTTACTCGAGTTGAACTCACTGTTTCGCCCATACGCTCTTAGCTACTCGTATTAAGCTTTATCCGCCAGTTACTAGACGGTATCCATCTCAGTAAGCTTCCCCTTGAAGAGAGGTGACGCCCCAATTACCGATATGGGAAAGTCCTGCGGAGGACACACCTTGGCACCACCGTGCAATTCTTAGCGCAGATCGTCTACCGCATCTCAACAACAAACCTCTCCAACAAAGACCAGAAAACAGAATTCCGACAAGAGACTTGCATACATTTTAGTGGCAACTGCGCCTCCGACTGACCACATCACAGGGACATTTGTTTCTCAGGTGGCTCAAGACATCAAAAGATTATTTTTAGTTGTACAGCACTAACTAGGTCGTGCACTTATGGTGAGGCAACATGAAAGAACGGAACAAAGTTCGTCTCTCCTGAGAGGAGCCGAAAGTTATCAGAGGCAGCAACAACCACTGTAGGACGAGTACGAGGTCCTTACATCTGACAATGATGATGATGAGAGGCTTCAATAGAACAAACGGAAGTGGTCACATTTTACCACCGGGTTATTTGGGCACTGGGCTTAAATTTACCATACGCAACCAACTCCAAGGAAGGACCACTTCTGTTTGGTTCTTTCAGAGTGTGGAAAGTCCAGTCATTTAAAGATGATCTCTCCTGAGAGTTGTCTATCCAAATGGATGGCGGACGTTCTTGCGTAACTAGGTATTTCCAAGAAAAAACCTCGTAAGGATCCAGTGAGACTTGTTTGGCTTCAAACAGACTGAACTAGTTCACTACGGACGGTTCCACGCATATTTCTCACTGAAGAAACCACTATATCGCGGGGAAAGCGGAAGAAATCGGCAAGTGTGAGATATTACTGCGCGAAACCAAACTGTTTCCCTAATATGCAACTGAGACAATTTGCAGACCAACTTGGTACCTAAAACCGTAACGGGTAAATTGGTCAAATCTAACTCGCCTCGCCACCAAAACGTTCAATTCTGTTACATTTGGTTGTTTGTGACCACACTAATTTTAGTTTCAGGCTATTGCTTGTATTGTCGAAATCGAAGTGCGGTTCGCACAAAAATTTCACCTGTCGTGGTTATTCATGCAGAAGCTGGGGACGACACTAAATTCGAAGCTCAATGAGAATAAAATAATTGACCTGACACATTAGAATCTGATGGCTATTGCAGAATAAGTCCATCAAGCCCGATTGTAGAAGCACCAGTGAACCAGTTGTTAACTCGGCAATAAGCGAAAAAATGCCAAATCGGTGTCACTATCAACACCTATGGATCGAGTACCGTAGTGTGGCTGTCCCACTTAAGTTTCTTAATGAAAGGACAACAGGGGTTGGTATCGAGGCACAAGAGGTAAAATCATTTAAACGTCAACCCAATAATGGTCATACGGTCAATAATGAAAACCTATAGTATAAGGACTATATCAGATGATAATAATAATCGCTCAGCTGTAGCACTTAGCAACTGGGCATAGTATATGACAACAGAATTATCTGCAACGTACGCGTGCACAAGTTTCGCAGGTAAGAACTGTCGTTTGTCTTGTTTTTTTTATTCCCCCGGGTATCAAGCTCGGTTTGAGTGGGTCTTGTGAAACACAGTTACAAAGGCCGATTGCGAACCAAGCTGTCGAAAAGGTCCCCTTCGGAGTACCAGACAGTCGTTGATTAACTGAGCGGTAGGTCTTTCAGCCCTTGTTTGGCGAATTAACTGGAACAAATTGCATTAGCCTACGGAGATAACGCCATATGCCATAGAAGTTTGGAAAAGTACAGCAAAAGTGCGATATTGCACACTATGGCATTGCAGTCCCCTGAAGCTTTGACGTCATAAGCACCACTGATGTTTCTGTTAGGATGATGCCGACCAAAATTAACGCGCGAATGCTCAGTCGAGTCCCTATACTAACCTGAAAAGCTTGGCACCACAGCAGCAACACACGTAATCGCCAGGCTCTTTGTGGTCATGAAAGGCACCTGTGAAGGGCTGAAATTTATAAGTTCCCCAAGCGTAAAAAAACGAACCGGTTCTGTTTCTTTTTCACGAGCAACTGCGTATTGCTCTGGCGTAAGGATCTTCTTCCATTCGCTATCGGGTTTCCGAGCAGACATGTGACGTTTGGTGGTCAAGAGGGTAGACCAGATAGACAACTTTGAATACTGAGTAATCGCGAGAAGACGTAACAGCTTGGTGATTTGTAAAAGACAGTCCACACAAAAGAGGTGGCCGATATACCTACAAAAGAGGGAAACTGGGCGTATTATTGGCTGAAAGCACACAGCAAATGATGCAGCAGGCAGTAGCAAAGCTTAAAGAACCCGCAGTAGCTATGGAAACGTGGAAAACAGTGAAGCTTTTAAATAGTAATAATAATAGTAATAATAATAATAACAAGCACTGAAAGCAGAACCGATTAGAATATTGGTGCCTCAGGGCCATACAACCAAACAGTTTATTTGAATGCAGCCTCAGTAAGGATAGAAAATTAAACGAGCAACAATATCCACTGACAATAAGAGTAGTGTGCCAGATTATTGTTAGCTTCAATGGCTCAGGTGATCATCGAAGAGTGCATCAGGTATCTTCAGCATATTATGTTGCAGAGAATATACTTTATCGCGATGCAGCGGTTTGTCTGACTGTGTAGCAAACTGAGCTATACTGAGGGGTTCACTCTGACAGCCCAGAATTTCTCACGCTACGTTGATTAGTGGGTACAGGTCCGACGAACAGTCTCCAGGTCCTTCAGGTTGGCGGTTGAAACAGACATAGTAACTTGTACCCTAAAACACTTGCACTACTGTAGTCGTATTCGACACGTACTCGCTGCCCTGCTATTAGGCTTTTGAGCCAAAATCTTAGATTAAGGACCCTAACTGTCCAACCTCTAAGTATGGCCGCTCTGACAGTATTCCACTTCGCGCACAGCCATGAACGTCACAAGCAAAAAATACTATCATGCCAGATCAGCCGTCGCGAGATGGCTCGATGGTTAGAGTGAGAAGTTACTGTTATATCCTCTTTGTTAATGTACTAGTCAGACTGCTTTTTTCACAAGAGTGAAGACAAACAACTTCGAGTCATACTGCAAACATAAGGATCATTCCGCGATATGGGATTCAACTGAACCAGAACATGAAAAGAGCTAACAGTCCAGTAGAATGTCAGTGACAGGCTAAAATGTAGAAACACGGCTTCAGTATACAAGACAAATCGTTGGAAAAGCTGATTTGTTTGTTTAGAGATAGTCGGGATGACATATACTAATCGGAAGGTCTGCATTTCGACTTCTCCTGTCTAGGTTTTGGCAACCTGACAGTATCCCAGTCCTCGTGCTTGGAATAGCAGGTTTCTGTATATTTTCTATAGAAGTACGACAAAAAATTGCCCCCGGTTACCTGGGCCCGTCTTCGCTCCCAAATAGGTCCGATCTGGTACAGCCAGAACACTGAGATGCACTACTATCTTTAATCAGTCCGCAACATCGCCTCGTGCGGCACTGTTTCGCGTTATGTCTTGGCTTGAGGCACAGCTCGCAAAGTGAAGCTGAGTGGATGAACGTTGCACGGGAATCAGCGTCCAAGCGGATGAATTGCGAGCATTGATCGAGGTAGTGCATTTTGCCACAGTGCACATACGGACAGGACATCGTCGGGCTATGTTCTCCATTACCAGGCTTATTAGCCGCGGACGTCGTCACAACTATGGATAGCCTTGGCGATGGTGCCGTCACAGCTACGGGGGCGTTCTGACCTACTGCTGCTCGGCTGGGAAACATTCGGCAAATAAGACTCTCTAACTGATAACGCATCTGCTCTGTCTAGAACATAATCAGTCAGATCGACGAAACTGGGCTCTCGGTTCTTCCTGAGGATTTCCGAGGCTTGGTCGAACCACTGTGACTGGATAGCATTCGGATGGCGGCTAATAATAGTGCCTATGGTTGTTCTAGCATGAAGCTATGATGAGTAGTTCAGTTGGGAGAGGACTAACCAACAAGCCTTCATTGTGTCGGCCAGCTTGAGTAGTGAGCTGGCGTCGTTCGGTCTGATGGGCGGCCCGGTT